CTGCCGGTTGGCGCCGATCGTTGTCGGACCGAGCTACCGAGGATGGAGCCTCCTTGATGGGGTCAGAGTAGATGGGGTTGGAGGGTCGCGCCGCATCGCCGATACATCGGCGACGCAGCCGTGGGAAAACACGAGCTTCACATCGAGCCGCATCGTCGATGCATCGGCGATGCGGCGCGATCCTCCGACGCCATCTACTCCGACCCCATCTAAGAAACCTACGTCGACTCCAAAGACACCCAGACCCAAATCCCCTCGCGCCGCGAACAAAATCACGACGGGCGGGTGTTCCGCTACTTTCGGCCTCAAGGGGCCCTCGCCAGGCCCCCGACCGTCAAAACCACTGAGGAAAAAAAGCTGGTCCCAGGGAGTGGGTGGAGACATCCCGGGATTGACGTTGTGAACTTGAGGGGCCCCTGGTAAGGAAATGAAGGCAAATTGTATGCTGTCAAACTTCGCTGGTGGCGCCGCTATTTGTGAGGATGTCTCCGACGACTTGAAAGTACGTCCAAGTTGGGAGCTCACTGAACATCTCTGCTCTCGGAGGATGTCTGCAGCGAAACGCCCCGCCACACCAAGCTCGATATCCAACGCCCGAGCGCAAAATCTCAGTTTTCTGAGGACGTCTCATGCGAAAGCTTCATATTTGATCACCAACGTCGTTGCGACAAGATGTCTCAAGCGAAACGCCCCCCACACACACAAACACACACACAACATTGAAAATCCGATGTGCGATCTCACACATATCACTTTTCTGAGGATCTCTAAAACGAAAGTTTCGCTTGTGAGAACCAACGTCGTAAAACGACTCCTCCAACATCCCTATTTGGTGAGGATGTCTCAAGCGAAATTGGACATCCGACGCCAGATCTCCAACAGATCAGTCTGAGGATTCTGACGCGATGACGTTTTCATGTAAAAAAACATCGTAAACCAGCTCCTCCAATGACCACGTGTTTTGGAGGATGTCTCAGGCGAAGCGATTCTCCCACACCATGTTGGGTATCCGACGCCGGATCTCCAGCATCTCGATTGTCTGAGGATGTCTCATGCAAAAAACTGCACTTTTGATCACCAACGTCGTAAAACAACTTCACCGACATTCCCATTCTGTGAGCCTGTCACACGCGAAACGTACTCCCCCCACACTATGTTGGACATCCGAAATCTGATCTCTAGCATCTCACCTTTCTGAAGCTGTCTCAAGAGAACGCTGTGTTCTTTTATTATACTAGAAAAAACCAGGTCAAATGATTTGTATGTTTTTTTCGCTGGTGTTTCAATCGGCCTGCCTCCCGCCCTACTCTAATTCGAATATACGTTCGAGCCCAGCCTAGTTATTATATGCTATCGTCATGTTTTTTTTTTTTTTTTTTCTCTCTCTCTCTCTCTTTCTTTCTTTATTTTTCTCTCTCTCTCTCTCTCTCTAATTGTATATATATATATATATATATATTTCTCGTGTTTGCCTCTATGTGCATGTATAGATAACACCGTATACCTTCCTGTGCTAGTATGTATGCATGTATGCACGTACGTATGTATGTATCCCATACACATACACATACACACACTTCCTATGCATGTTTATATCTCTCTCTCACTCTACTCCGCCTTTCTCATTGTTCTGTATCATAGCTGTTTGGTTACCTCTCTCTCTCTGCCTCTTTCGTTTTCTTTCTCATTGTTTTGTTGTTTTGTTTCTCTCTCTCTCTCTCTTTCTCTCTCTCTCTCTCTCTCTTTCTCTCTTTCTCTCTCTCTCTCTCTCTCTCCATATGTATATGTATATATATACAGGTATACATACACAGATATATATATATATATATATATATATATATATATTGTATATATAAGAGTGTGTGGGGCCATTTCGCACTGAATGGAGACCCCCCACACCGGAAAATCGGTTTCGGATGCGCGCTCGCGTCGGACGTGCGGGCGAGGCGAAGCTAAGTGGGTGGGCGAGAGGAATGATCCCGCAATTGCCAAGGCGAAGCCGAACCAAACGTTGCCGTCACCTGGGTTGGTCAGCAGTGGCCCTGTGGTGTCCCCATGGTGTCCCGATGGTGTACCCATGGTGTCCGAAGGTGGTGTCCCGTGGTGTCCCGTGTTGTCCCGTGGCGCGGGGGTGTCCCGTGCTGTGCGGTATGCTATGCTACCTATACGACCATCCTGCGGGTGATAAGGAGGTTGGGGGGGTGGAGGGGCCGAGCAATCGGCAACAGTGGTGATTGTTCCCCTGACGATGCAAGTGGAGATTTTTTTCTCGGAGGCCTGCTGAGGCTCCTCTCCCTCCCTTTGTCAGGTTGCACATGGTGCAAATGCAATTGATGAGAATTGCTGCGACAGCGACGGCGGCGGCGTCCTGTCGGCGTATCCCTTTTCATGTAGACGGACCAACTCCAGGGGCCCAGACGCCCCAGTTTTTCGATTCGCTTCCAACCGCGGCGGCGAGCCCGCGCGGCCGCCCGAAGGAACGGGGCGCGCTCGGAGAGAGCGGCTGGCAAAGCCTAGCCTGTACTGGTGGGTGCACGGGGCCTCGCCCGCACGCACGGCACGCACGAACACGAAACCGAAATCGATTTCCCGGTAGGGGGGCTGTCCGTTCCACTTCGATCTCACCCCCCAACCTCCGATCACAATCGATCTCACAATCGACGTCGTCATCATCATCACCATCATCATCATCAACATCAACATCAACATCATCATCATCATCATCATCATCATCATCATCATCATCATCATCATCATCATAATCATCATCATTATCATCATCACCATCATCATCGCCATCATCAACATCATCATCATCACCACCATCATCATCACCATCATCATCATAATCACCATCAACATCATCATCGGGACACCGACGGGACACCGACGGGACACCACCGGGACACCGGCGGGACACCGCGCGGCCCCGCGCCCCGGTGGAGAATCATTTGGTGCGGCCGCGCCTCAGCCACAGAGGACACCACCGGGACACCGGCGGGACACCGCGCGGCCCCGCGCCCCGGTGGAGAATCATTTGGTCCGGCCGCGCCTCAGCCACAGGAGACTTTCCTCTAGCCCGCCCACGCAGCTTCGCCTCGCCCGCACGCACGGCACGCACGAACACGAAACCGAAATCGTTTTCCCGGTAGGGGGGCTCTCCGTTCCACTTCGATCTCACCCCCCACCCTCCGATGTTAGGCTGGCGATAGTGAGATAGATAATGAGATCGATAGTGAAATCCATTGACTGATATCGAGAATACAATCGATCGCGAGATCGATAGTGGCATCGATAATGAGATTGGTAGTGAGGTCGGTTGAGTGGGATCGATTGAATGAGATCAATAGTGACATCGGAGGGAACGCGTTTCACGGGCGCGTTTCGAACCGGGGGGTGGGCCCCCCCCAACAATCGGCGCCGTCGATCAAAACCAAGGGGGCTCCCCTCCTTCCCAGCCCCCCCCTCCCGACCCGCCCCCCTCCCAAAGGGGGATGAGGGGGTTTCAAGCCCCCCCCCCCCTGAGCGCCGGCGCAGGCGCTGGCGGCCGCCAGCAGCGCCGACGGCGGGGACGCAGCGACGATGACCAGAAGGGGGTTGAATCCCTCCCCCTAGCGCGCTGGGGAAGGGAGGGGTTTTGAACCCCCCCCCTGGCGCGGCGCTGGCGCTGGCGGCGGCCAGCAGCGCCGGCGCTGGCACCGGCGACGGCGGGGACGCAGCGACGATTACCACCACTACCACCACCACCACTATCACCACCACCACCCCCACAACCCACCACCACCACCACTACCACCACCACCAACCCACCACGCAACCGCCACCACCACCATCACAGCCACCACCACCACCACAACCACCATCACCACCACAACTCACCATCACAACCACCACCACCACCACAAAAAACCCACCACCACTACCACCACTACCACCAATCTGCCACACCACCACCACCACCACCACCACCGCCACAACCACCACCACTCCCAGCAACGCAACCCACCGCCACCACCACAAACCACCACAACACCACCACCACCACCAGCACCACCTCCACCCACCACAGCCACCACCACAACCCACCACCACCACAAACCACACACACCACAAACACCACCACCACAACTCACCATCACCACACCACCACCACAAACACCACCACAACCACCACAATCTACCACACCACCACCACCACCACCGCCACAACAACCACCATTACCAGCAGCACAACCGACCACCACCACAACCACAAACCACCACACCACCACCACCGCCACCACCACCACAACCACCACCACAAGAACCACCTCCAAAAATCACCTCCACCACCACCACCACAAACCCACCACACCACACCAAACACCATCACCACCACCCACCACACCACCACACCACCACACCCACCAAACCACCACACCACCCACCACCACAACCATCACCACCACCACAACAAACCACCACTCCACCACCACCACCACCACCCACCATCACAAGCACAACCTCCAGTAACCACCGCCACCACCACAACCCACCACCACCACCACCACCACAAACCACCACCGCACCTCCACAAACCACCACCACCACCACAATCCACCACCACCACCACAAACCACCACCACACCACCACCAAACCACCACCACCACCACCCACCACCACAGCCAGCACCAGCGCAACAAACCACCACCACCACAACCACCACCACCGCCGCCACCACCACCACACCGTCGTCCTCGTCGACGCTCCCCGCCGCCGCCGCCCGCCGCCGCAGGCGCCAGCGCCGGCCCAGAAAAGGAAATCGTCGTCCCCGCCGCCGCCGCCAGCCGCCGCCGACGCAAGCGCCAACCCGAGGGGAAGGGAAGCAGGGGAGGGAAGGGGTGGGGGGTCGAACCCCCCCTCCCCCCCCTCCATCACGGGACGGGGGGGGGGTCGAACCCGAAATGGGACGAATTACAACCGACTGCTCCCAATTCCAACCGTTCGGAGCGAATTG